TTATAATAAACGCTGTTTATTATAATAAACACCCTTCTGAATGTGTGGGAAAAAAAGAAACCACATTATTTTCGCTAACGTGTGCTCTTCGGAGCCTTAGGGAGCCTCATCCCGTCCCTGCAGCCGCCCGGGCTCGCCAAAAACACACCAGCCCACCTACCCTGGTGGTACTCTGTGCCTCCCCCTCCCCAGAGGAATTTTCATCCTAAATTTTCATTGGAAGAAGCCGTATGAAAAAAGACAGATGGTCTTCCAGTCTGACCTGCGTAAAGAAGGTGTCTGCATTCATTTTAAGTTCAATGACTCCCGACAGCAAATTTTTAAAAAAAGAGGTTTAATCTTTGTGAGATGCACAAAAGGAGGTGTGCGTGTGAGTGTGCCTGCACATGTGCTCACTTCCTCTTCCCCCAAGAAGCCAGCATCTGTTTTATTTAGCAGGCAATTATCTGAACCCCAGGAGGAGGAAATAGCCAGGATTACCCTGGGTGAGTACCAGGAAATGAGGCTGTGGGAAAAGCAGCAAGCGAAAGGTCCAAGGTACTCCCGTATTATTGAAGGAAAAAAAAAAAAAAAGATTGACTTAATTAAGAATTGCAAGCTATTAAGTTCACACGGATGGATGCAAAACAAATTCATATTAATTTCACAGCTCCTCTTGGCTCGGATACAATATCCTGTCCTTTTCTACGGGGGGGGGGAGGCTTTTCTCAAATATTAGCCATGGATCTTCTTGCTGGCATGGGAGCAGGGGAATATATATATATATATATATATATATATATATATATATATATATATATATATATATATATATATATATCTGCAAGTGGATTTCTTCACCCTAACTATGCACAAGGCCTCAAAAAGACCCACTCAGATTATTAAATAAGGTGGCCTCAATGCAACCAGACCAGGAAATGCCTCACCCACACCATTCTGCTGCTGGGGGAGGGGGGGGAAGAGAGAGGGGGGAGGGAAAGAGAGAGAGAGAGAGAGAGAAAGAGAGAGAAAAGGGATTGATTTAGACTAGGTCCTCTAGTCCAACCCCCGGCAGATCTCCGGATCAGATCTTCTGATCTGCAGAACTACACAAATCTGGAGATCTACGCAGCTCTGGAGCTCTACACAGGTGCAGTAGTAAAAGGTTAGCACTGTATTGTTGCCTGCTGTTTGTGCAGCATTAAGTAGAACGCAACGGCAAGCATTGGTCTTTTCCAGTCCCGTTCCTTGTCCTGACAATATCCCAATATTCAAATAGAGGCAGTCCTCGGCTTGCACTTGTTCGTTTAGTGATGGTTTGAGCTTACAACGGCGTTGAAAAAAAATTGACTTACGACCTGGCATCATCCCCGTGATCACGGGATCAAAATTTGCACACTCGGCAACTGGTGTGTATTTCGTGACGGTTGCACTGTCCCGCGGGGGCAAGTGATCCCCGTTTCGGCCGGCTTCCAACAAGCAAAGTATGGAGGGGGGAGGAAGGAGGGGGGTAGAAATCCAGATTCGTTTAATGACTACACGATCCACTTAACATTTGCAGCGATTCGCTTAGCAACTGTGGCAAAAAAGTAAAAATAAAAAAAGGTTGTCAAAACGGGGCAAAACACCCACTTAACAAGGGCCTGGCTTAGCCATGGCAAAGGTGGGGTTCAGCGACGGCCGTAATAAAAGGAGAATTTTTCTCCAAGATAGGAAAAGAAGAAGCCCACCAGCTGACCACAAACAAAACAGAGGGCGTTCATTCACCTAAGGCCGATCAATTTCTCGGTGCCCTCCGGAGAAACTGGCTTTCAAAAAGCAGCATTTTGGGCTTTTAAACCAGCTTCTGACACCAGGGGGTTCTGCTTCTTACACTTCCCACACACAAACACGCAGAAAGAGAGGGAGACAGAGACGGGGGGGGGGGGGGAGAAAGAGTTCAAGCGAGCTGCTTTATTGTTTCATGCCTATTTCACAGGAATCTTCCCAGATTTGCAGATTCACTTGGGAAAGATCCGATTAAAGATTCAAAGGCATCTGAAACGGGTGGGTTGAGTCAGACTTTTTGCTCTCTCCTGTTTATGCAATGAGCTAATTCCCTTTGGATTCCCCCCCCCTCTTCCCGCACTGGGATGGCTGTTCTCCCAACAGTTTCCCCCCCACCCACCCCTCTTTCCGTGGCTTTAGGCTCTGGAAGGAAGTGAGGCACACTCTGCTTCTCTCAGCTCCAGAGTCTTTGTAATTGGGTTTCCCGCGGCCTGCCGATTGAATCCGCCTTCAGTTCCCTACAGGGGTGAAGTGAAAAGGCGCAGATGGCGAGGCGGGGAGTTGCTTTCAAAGCAAACATTCAGCGGAACATCCCCACGGAGCGCCCCGCTGCTCCGAAAGGCAAGCAGCTAATAAGGCAAAAAAAGGAGAAAAGGCCAACAGGTAAGTCGGCTTGAAGGAGCAGCGCCAGACCAAAAAAAAAAAAAAAAAAGACAGCAGTCCTGGATGCTGGTTTTGGACTTTTTTTAAATTTTAATTTTAAAAAAGGCCACCTTCTCGGCAGGAAGCTAATGCTTGCAACATGACTCGACGGAGGAAACGTTAAGGCGGCGTGCCAGCTCTTGCCATTACAATGTGGCTTCCGATGGAAACCCACCAAGCACAGCATATACTGACCGATGCAAAGGGCAAGGCAACGGAAAGGTTTGGGTGATCCCGAAGCTCCGGGCGCTCCCTTTAAAAAAAAAAAAAGACTTCAACTCCCAGAATTCCCCAGGTCATTTTCACAATGTCTTTCTGGGATCTGTTTTTTTTGGGGGGGGGGGGGGATGCACAGTGGTGGGGTTCAAATACCTGAACAACCGGTTCTCTTATTGGATGCAGGCTTGGGCCCCCCGAGGCATAGAAGGGACTTCCGGAAGTGGCATCCACGCACTTCCGGCGGGCCGTTCTAGGCCTGGGAGGCCTCCTCCAGGCCTCCGAGGCCTAGAACAGACTTCCGGAAGTGGCATCCATGCACTTCCAGTGGGCTGTTTTAGGCCTCCTCCAGGCTTTCCAAGGCCTAGAACAGACTTCCGGAAGTGGCATCCATGCACTTCCAGTGGGCTGTTTTAGGCCTCCTCCAGGCTTTCCAAGGCCTAGAACAGACTTCCGGAAGTGGCATCTACGCTCTTCCAGTGGGCTGTTCTAGGCGTCCTCCAGACCTCCGTGGCCTAGAACAGACATCCGGAAGTGGCATCCATGCACTTCCGGTGGGCTGTTCAAGGCCTCCTCCAGGCCTCCGAGGCCTAGAACAGACTTCCGGAAGTGGCATCCATGCTCTTTCAGTGGGCCGTTCTAGGCCTCCTCCAGGCCTGGAACAGGCTTCCAGAAGCAGTGTGCGTTCATCCAGTTCTCCGAACTCAGCAAACTTTAGCTCCCGGTTCTGCCAAACCGGTGCGAACTGGCTGAATCCCACCACTGGGGATGCACTGCCTTGATTATTGCAGGTTAAAAGGGAGAAGGGGTCTGACACCCCACTGGGCTTCTGGGAGATTACTGATCTGCTTCTGGCTGAGCTTGAGAAGATGGCCAAAGCATCCATAGATCTATGGGCTGCCCCTCCCCAGAGCCTAGATGGCTATCATGGCTCTAAAGGCTCCTGTTAGGCCTTGCTGCAGCTGGACTGCCTTTCTGAGCATCCCGGCACAATTGGGCATTCACAGGGATTTAAATGCTTCCTTCATGAACGAAATCCGACGAGGGCGAAGGGAAAGCAAGCAGATCTGGGCTTTCTTCAATTGGGAGAGAGTGTGAAAGGGGGAGGGGGGGTGTACGCAACAAACCTACACGCCGCATAAATCTCCGGCGACAATCGTGACTCGTGCCAGGAGAATTAACATTGAAATTCAGTCCCCGTGAGCAGGGGTGTCTGAGCCCCGTTGATCGGCCTTCCTCCGCCGGCGCTCGAGGGATACAGAGGGGGGTCTGTAAAAGGATCCTAGCTCAAACAAGAGCATCTTGTTCCCTTCACAAAGAACGGCACAGGTGCAACCCCTACCGAGCCGTACCGAAGCCGGCGCTTTGGGGACCATGAACGCAGGGAAATCAAAAACAAGGAATCTGGGTTGCAATGAAAAAAAAAACCATCCAGTTAATTTGCCTTTTGACCCTCAGGGAACACACAGCCAAATGCCAGGCAGTCTCGGTGTGGGTGGGACGAAGACTTCCACCCCATCAATTTATTCTTATGGGAATGAACAATAAGATGGGCCATCCCTGTGCTGGGCCTTTCTGGTACACTGAGGCCGCTAAAGTCCTCCTTCTTCGGGTGCCCAAGCATAAATCAACCCCCAAAGATGTAGATGGGTCTGTGATAAACTCTCGCAGGCACGCTGCCATGTTATTTAGCAAGGAGCAGATCTTATGGTCCAGGATCCGGCGAGTGGTCGATGCTGCTTCCTCCTCCATTGTGACACTGACTTAAGATCTGCAAGTCAGGGAAATTGATGAGATCTTTGTGGGCGCCTTTTAGGCACTTTAGATCAAGCCAGGCTGACCTGGAGGGACTCCTGCATCCTTAAGAGACAAAATCAGGGGCATTACTTCTCCCTGTTGTAGTGCTGGGGGCCAAAAAATGGAGGGCAAAGAAAGGTATCAATGCCGCTAACATCGGATGTTCTTGCTTGGACAACATATGGAGATGCAGCCATTTGCCTTTAGGTTAATGTTTTACTCTTAGAGTTAGAATTAGATAATACTGGGGGGGGGGGAAGGAATGTGCCTGGGAGTTTAGTCAGACATAACAATACTGCAACTAGGGTGAGAACCAAGATTTTTTGAAATAAGAGATGGTAAGAAATGGCGGGTGGGAGAACTGGAGGGAAAGCCTGCGTTTCAAACTAATTGGAGAATGTGATTTATGACTGTAAACTGGAGGAGGGAATTGTGCTTTGGTGGCCGAGGGGTGTGAGGGGTGTGTGTGTCTCGGCCCAGAGAAACATTACATCCAAGAAGAGAGAAAGGCAAAACAAGGCAGAAATATTGCCGCTTACCAGTTTGAAGTCTTGAATGCTGCAGATGAAATAGGGTGTGTTCGGCCGACGGCTCTCGATGTACACGCAATCTTGAAGGGGGGACAAAAAAAAAGGTAGAATGTCTCAGCCTGGGGTAAAGTGACGGAGGAAAGTCATCGGCGCGACACGGAACGGCAGAGGGCTGCCACAAACCACGGTCTGGACAGACACACATATGCACGCAGGCACGCAGGAATACGCAACCGGTGTTTGTAAGGTTCTTTCGGAGGACCAAGGCAATCCAGAAAAAGGTCACGTCCCTTCTCCGAGGCTGTGTGTCAGCTCGCCCGCTACGTTTTCCACGTCCAGATGATTCCTCCCAAACTCAGAGCAGACATCCCAGATGAGAAGATGACTCTCCCCTTATCTCCCCCCCCCCCCCGATCTGCCACAATCTCACCATTTTTCTCTAACACTCCCAGCGTTCCTATCTTACTGGTTTTATTACATTTATTTATCATGTTGATATGGGGCTCATCTAGAGAAACACGCCTTTCCTCTTGAAAACTGAAAAGGGCCCTGGGGGATGCAGGAGTGCAAGTCAGCGTGGAAGGACACACTGCAAAGAGTGGAGGGCACGATTGAAGACGGGGCGGTGGGATTGGAGGCCCACGGGGGTGTCTCCTTCGTGATAGAAAGTGCCACTCTGCAGCCAAGGATTTGAAAAGGCCACCAGGGATGTTCATCAGATCCGGCAGGAGGATTCTGAAGGAAGGAAGGAAATTGAAGAGCAATGATAAAAGAGAATATTGGCAACTCGGGGTTAAACTGCAGAGTCCTTGGTGCTCTCTGAGCTTGGTGGTTTTCTTGCAGACGTTTCATGACCCAACTAAGTAACAACATCACTGCTGGGGGGGAGGAGGAGGAGGAGGAGGAGGAAGACGACGACGACAACTACAGTGGGGTCCCTGGTGCTCTCTGAGCTTGGTGGCTTTCTTGCAGACATTTCATTAGCAAACTAGGTAACGGCATCAGTAGGAGGAGGAGGAGAAGGAAGAGGGAGGGAGAACTATGGTGGGGTCCCTGGTGCTCTGAGCTTGGTGGTTTTTCTGCAGACATTTCATTACCCAACTAGGTAAAATCATCAGCGCTGATACCCCAGGAGCAATGTGGCCTTTCCCCAAGCACTTGTTCAAAGTAGGTCCTGATGTTCAGCCACAACAAAGCCACAGCTCCTCTTGCCCTGTTCAGCCACGCTTTTTCTCTCTCTGGGCACACGATCTGCCTGCTGGGCTTTTCATCCCGGGAAACAAATTCCTGGAATATCTAGGAGCTTGACAACTCCGCTCTCGCTCCCCTGAGGTATATCCTGGTACCGCTAAACCCAACATTAATGACTCAATCTACTTGGGTGAGTGGGGGGGAGGGGAGGAGGGGGAAGATAGTTTAAAGATGAGTGTGAGCAAACCACGACTTTTCAGCAGAGCTATTCGTGGTTATTGCTTTTTTTTTTTTTTTTTGGCTTTGTTAAAACAGAGGTTTCAACAACCCATGCAGATGAAAATGTTAAGATGAATTCACAGGCAGGCACCTGCAGGCAAAGTTATTTGAAATTCACAGATCCGGCTGAACAAAAGCAGCTCACTGCGTTTGGGAGGCCGCGCCAATCCCGGAGCTTTTATGACTCTGTTTCCTCAGATCCATGAAAAGCTCTCCAGCTGTTGGATCACATAACATCTGTGAACTCTTAAAGAGGCTTGGGAGCGGGAGCAGAGAATAAAGAAGCCCCCCCCCCAGCATTGGAAATCGGGAGAACAAATCTTTGCAAACAATACCTCCCCTTCTCACTCCTTCCTTCCTTCCTTCCTTCCTTCCTTCCTTCCTTCCTTCCTTCCTTCCCTCCCCTCCTGGATGACAAAGATGGCAGCCCTATGCCTTAAGAGACCTTGGCAAGCCCTAAACACCCTTTTCAGCAGCATGAGAAGGAGGAGGAGGAGGAGGAAGGGGGCGAGGGGGGGGCTGGCTGGGAAATCCGTGCCGTTCTGAACCAGGAGAAGGCTAATGGGAGAGGAATGCCAGCAGACTGACAGGTGAGGAGGGGGAAGTTTCCCTCCCCCCTCCCCGCCTCCTCCATCGCTGCTGACAGCAAAACAAATCCGCTGGTCTGATCTTTTCGTGCTGCCGTGCTTCCTGCCAAGGCAGGTTTCAAGGCAGGCACGGCTGCAGGCTCCTTGTCAAGGGAAGGCTGCCTTGGGTGCCCCCACCCCACCCTCCACGCTCCCCCCAAGCTCCAAAGGGCCCCTCCCCCCTTGCCTTGAAAGACGGGCTCTCCTTTCCCCAAACGGTGGTGTTTTGTTTTTTTTTAATGATAAACCTTTCAAGGGGGCTGGTGGTGGGGCCGCTGCTGCTGAATGGAGGGTCAGTATAACTGAGATTTCATCCCATTTGGGCTCCTTCAAGCCTACCTCCTGGTTGTGCAGTAAAGGGAACCTATTTCTATGGAAAGAAAGAAAGAAAGAAAGGAAGAAAGAAAGAAAGAAAGAAAGAAAGAAAGAAAGAAAGAAAGAAAGAAAGATCCTAAGATCTGAGAGTCGGTCTAGAGAATGACGGCATAGGAGGGAGGAACAGAGGAAGGAAGGAAGAAAGGGAGGGGAAACAGGAAGGGAGGGAGGAAGGGAGAGAGGGAGGAGAAAACAGGGAGGAAGGGAGGGAGGAAAAGGAAGGAGGGAGGGAGGGAGGAAGGGAGAGGGAGGGAGGAAGGGAGAGAAGAAGGAAAAGAAAGGGAGGGAGGAAGGAAGGGAAAAGAAAGGGAGGAAGGGAGGAAAAGGAAGGAAAGAAGGAAGGAAGGGAAGGAGGAAGGAAAAGGAAGGGAGGGAGGGAGGGAGGAAAAGGAAGGGAGGGAAAGAGGGAGGGAGGGAGGTTTAAAGACTAAGCGATAAGCTATGATTCTGAGGATAACATTCACTGCCACTCATGGATTCGAACTCAGGTCTTGCCCGGAACAGAGGATGCTGCTGTGGGTTGTTGAGAAAGACAGTCATTCAGGAATCAAAGTCCAAAGGGTTCCCCCAGGACTGTCTGATCAAGGTTCCACTGACAGCAAGCTACTTCCCCAAAACAGTGAGCGGATGTCGTCCGCGGGGCATCTCCTTGAACCCTGCACCTCCTCCACCCAAGCACAATGTCCCCAACGAAAGAAACACCAGGGGCCACCGGCTCTCTTTCCTTTCACACAAACACAACCCAACCAAGCACGGCTTTCCGGATCAACCCTCCAGAGACGGTTCTCCATGGCACGAACCGGATTCTTTCCCCAGGATTCTGCTTTTTTGTTGTTGTTGTTTTTTTAAAAAAATGTTTAATGAAAAAGATCCGTGCAAACCGTTATGAGAAAGTCGAAAGCCATGGAGGTTTTAAGGCTCAACCTCCATTTATCAGTCTTTTAAGAGCGGCACCATCTGTCAGGCAATAACAGCTGCTCCATATTTTAGAAGCCAGAACAACGCCTGCCTGCCTGCCTGCCACATTCCCGCTCATGGGGTGGAGGCGAAGGGAGAGGAGGTAGCCGGTTCCACCTTATAATGCTCATTTTGGGCTGCCGCAAGAGGCCACTAACCACGGCTTGGCTACCAGGATGGATGGATGGATGGATAGATAGATAGATAGATAGATAGATAGATAGATAGATAGATAGATAGATAGATAGATAGATAGATAGATAGATAGAGATGGATGGATGCATGGATGCATGATGGATGCATGGATGGATAGATAGATAGATGATAGATAGGTAGGTAGGTAGGTAGGTAGGTAGGTCGGTCGATTGATAGATAGATGGATGGATGCATGGATGGATGGATGCATGGATGGATAGATAGATAGATGATAGAGATAGATAGGTAGGTAGGTAGGTCGGTCGATCGATCGATCGATCGATCGATAGATAGATAGATAGATATAGATGATGGATGGATAGATGGATGGATGGATGGATGGATGGATAGATAGATGATAGAGATAGATAGGTAGGTAGGTAGGTCGGTAGGTAGATAAATAGATAGATAGATAGATAGATAGATAGATAGATAGATAGATAGATAGATAGATAGATAGATAGATAGATAGATATCTCCCTCTCTCTCCCTCTCTTCCATAGGCATATCCCCTTCTCTGGAAGTCAGGTGCTGGGAGACGCAGCATGCCTCTTTGCAGGCCTTCTCCTCAAGGCCACACCAAGCGTTTGCTTTCAGAGGAGCCATGGGCTATGCTCAAGAAATGCTCTGGTGGAGCGTTACAAGGCTGCTTTCTGTGGTTCAATCCCCAGGAGCTTCCAGGCAGGGCTGGGAGAGACTGCTAGGGGCGGCCCTAGAACGCCAGGCTACATGACGGCCAGAGGACTGGGTGATGACCCTGGTAGGACACGCCTGGTCTCCACAGTGCTCCTCCTTCCCTTCTTCTTTCTCCTCTTCCTCTCTGTTATCCTTCTGCTCCAGTCCACAAACCCCACTCCCTTCTAGCACTGACGATGTTACCAGGTTTGGCAATAAAACGTCTGCAAGAAGACCACCAAGCTCAGAGAGCACCAAGGACCCTATAATCCTCTTTTTCTTCCTCCTCCTCCTTACAAATCCCACACCCTTCTAGCACTGATGACGTTATCTAGTTTGGTCATGAAACGTCTGCAAGAAAGCCACCAAGCTCAGAGAGCACCAGGGACCCCATAATCCTCTTCCTCCTCCTCTTCACAAACCCCCCTCCCTTCTAGCCCTGATGACGTTATCTAGTTTGGTCATGAAACGTCTGCAAGAAAGCCACCAAGCTCAGAGAGCACCAGGGACCCCATAATCCTCTTCCTCCTCCTCTTCACAAACCCCCCTCCCTTCTAGCCCTGATGACGTTATCTAGTTTGGTCATGGAACATCTGCAAGAAAGCCACCAAGCTCAGAGAGCGCCAGGGACCCCACAGTGATCCTCCTTCCCCTCTTCCTCCTCCTCTGTTATCCTTCTGCTGCAGTTCGCAAACCCACTCCCTTCTAGCACTGATGACGTTACCTGGTTTGGCAATAAAACGTCCGCAAGGAGACACCTACCCCCAGCTCAGGAAGTACCAAGGACCCCACCGTCAAGTATACCCAGCAAATGGCAGAACGGGCACAGAACAGGCGGTGTTTTTTTGCATTCACGGATTGATGGAGGCTACTTCTGTTGTCTCTAGCCAGGCCGTGGCTATTTAATTTCTCTCTCTCTTTTTTTCTTTCTTCCCCTTGTTGTTGTTCCCCCCCCCCTTTGAGTCTTTGGCTTTTCCCTCTGTAATTCTGGCACGCTTGCTTCTCTCTCAGCTGGTGAAGCTGTCCGAACAAATAGCAGGCAATATATGGGAGCTAGGCAAACACATGGGTCAATGTCAAACAGAAGCCAATCACTCTCCAGGCCCAAAGCCAAAAGGCTGAGCTTTTCAATTTCGCTCATGTCCTCCAATCTAAATAGCGTTCAGCTGCTTAAAACACACACACACACACACACACACACACACACACACACACACACAAAGCCTGGGCAAAATCTCTCCTCTTTGCTCCATTCATCGGGTTTTTCTTTTCAAAGTGGCCCCCTTCTCTTCTTCTCCTTCGTTTTTTTTTTTTTTTTTTTTTTTTTTTTGCACAAACATTCGCCCTGTCCCTCCCCTCTTTTCTCTTTTTGCACAAACACGAAGAGCAGATGGGGAATTGAGCGGGGAGCCTCAGCCACCTCCTTGGCGGATGGCGAGGGGGAGAGAAAAAAAAAAAGCATCAATGTATAATGGTTATAAAGGGAACATTTAACAATTAATTGAGCCGGCAGTGCTTTGGATTTCCAGGGCTTGCTTGCTAAGCAATGGGGCAGGGGAGGATTTCAACGGCAGCCTAGGAGAGCTCGGCCCAATTAAGCTCTGGGTAAATAAAATAAAATAAAAACCTGGCTCGACCAGGATGCAAATGTGCTGGAAAGAGCTGAGAGGGGGAAAAAAAAAAAGAGAGAAAGAGCAAAACGAACACCTTGTGTTGTTGTCTTGCTGCCTTCACAGGTAATCCAACGGACACCAGGCAGCGGCAGGGAAAGAAAGCTGTTCAATGGAGGGTCAGAAACAATGCAATTCCAAAACGAGAGAGAGAGAGAGAGAGAGAGAGAGAGAGAGAGAGAGAGAGAGAGAGAGAGAGAGAGAGAGAGAGAGAGAGAGAGATGTAATATAGAAATGCAATTCCCCCCCCCCAAAAAAAGAGAGAGAGATGGAGATGTAATATAGAGGACAGAGGTGACAAAATGACAAGCCTTTTATCCGTCTTGTGGTGCAAACAGGTTAAGCAGAGTGCTGCCACAAAGAGGGGGGGGGGAACGAAGCCCCCTCCTCTGAGCCCAGCATATGGGTCACTGCCAAGGCTAGCAGGCTTCCCCTGCCTTAAGAGTCATGCATAACCGGACAAGGGAACCGTTTTGTTTTTTTTACTGAATCTAGTGCAAGTCAATAAAACGCTTGCCTGTAGAAAAATTGGCTAACGTTTGGCTAAAATCGGACCCTTCCCGTTGAGCGTGCCCTCTTTTTTTCTAGATAAACAGCTTTTTTTTTTTTTAACATTTGCCAAACTCCCTTGTCCTCGCCTCCGAGCTCTGGTGGGGCTCTTTGAGGCTGCCATCTCCCACCCCTCCCCGGGCGACTTTTTCTGCCAAAGCATGCTCAGAATTAGATGGGAAAAAGCTGGTGGAACAAAGATGGCTGTGGAAGGGACTTTGTACCCCGGCCAAGCCCTGGGAGGAGAGCCGCGTTATTTTTTCCCCAATCCCTGGCTCAGAAAAAGCTGGGTCGAGGAGCCCTCCCCGTTGAGAGAGGCACTTTCGACTCCAAAAGGCCGAAGCGGAGAGTTCGACGGGCTTTGGGATGCCTTAAGTCAGTGGTTCTCAACCTTTTTAATGCCGTGACCCCCCAACCCGTTGTAAGTCGAGGACTACTCAACCGGTCGTAAGTCGAGGACTACTCAACGGGTGCAGCACCGTTTGCAGAATGGGACTTTTGGCGGGCTCAGCAGGGCAGAGACAGCCTGGACCATTCCTATTGACTTTGGAAAGCCAATAGAATGAGACTCTATTCAAGAGAGTCTCTTCTATTGGCTTTCAAAAGCCAATAGAATAAAAGGGAGTAGCACAGCTAAGGAAAAGGGGGGGGGGGGAAAATGGCAGACTGCATTGTTTGGCGACCCCCGTGAAATGGTCGTTCGACCCCAAATGGGGTCCCGACCCACAGGTTGAGAACCACTGCTCTAAAAGGATGCAAATGACCAGCGGTCTGCAAGGAACAGGACTCCTTCCATGCCCCACCATCCGGTCAGAGCTAAAAAAAACTTCTTGGAGGAGAAGCGAAATGTCTTCAGAAGAAAAAACAAGTTGCCTTTTGAGAAACCATTTTTGGGAGGGTCCTAAGTCCCTTTTTTTTCAGTCCTGTTCTAACTTCAAATGGCCACTAAAGTACCTGTCCTCAACAAGGCTTGTATGATCAATGAAGGCGCATGACGGAAGCAAGGACACTGAGAGAGAGAATGTGAACAGCACTGGCTTAAATTCAGTTCTGTTAGATTTCCTTTTGTGTGTGTGTGTGTGTGTGTGTGTGTGTTTTACCTCTTATTTTCTTTGGCTCACAATGTCTGACTCTTCGCAGGATGCCGCTTATCCCAGAAGGGAATAGCCAGATTGATATGTATGTACTGAGGCATGTAAACAGCCACACGCTTGGCTGCCGGTGTCAGCCAAGAACTTTTCATATCCATTTCTTTATCAAACCCAAAGCAGCTAGCAGAGGAAAAAACGGCAAAAGGGGGGGGGGGACAGGCAAACATACCGCCGCACCTCTAAATGCCAAAATACAAAAATTCAAGCTATTAATTCTGGCAATACTATTAAATATCAAGCTAACGTTTCCTGGGAAAAGTCAAATTTTAGTGCTTCGCTAAAAAAGAACAAAACCTAGAACTAAGGAGAAATTTCCTGGCCGTGAGAACAATTAACCAGTGGAACAACCTGCCTCCAGAAGCGGTGAATGCTCCAACACTGGAAGTTTTTAAGAAGAAACTGGACAGCCATTTGTCCGAAATGGTGTAGAGCAGTGGTTCTCAACCTTTCTAATGCCGTGAGCCCATAATACAGTTCCCCATGTTGTGGTGACCCCCTAGGGGCGTGGCCAAGTGGGTGTGGCCACCAATAAGAGGGAGTAGGACAGCTAGAGAAAAGGGAAAAAAATGGCAGACAGCGTGGTTTGGCGACCCCCGTGAAATGGTCGTTCGACCCCAAATGGGGTCCCGACCCATAGGTTGAGAACCACTGGTGTAGAGTTTCCTGCCTGAGCAGGGGGTTGGACTAGATGACCTCCAAGGTCCCTTCCATCTGTTTTTCTGTTATTCTTCCTTCCTTCCTTCCTTCCTTCCTTCCTTCCTTCCTTCCTTCCTTCCTCCCTCCCTCCCTCCCTCCCTCCCTTCTTCATCACTGGAAGTTTTTAAGAAGAGACTGGACAGCCATTTGTCTGAAATGGTACGGGGTTTCCTGCCTGAGCAGGGGGTTGGATTAGATGACCTCCAAGGTCCCTTCCATTTGTTTTTGTTATCCTTCCTTCTTTCCTTCCTTCCTTCCTTTCCTCCCTCCCTCCCTCCCTCTCACCTCCAGGCCGGTAGACCACATCGTCCTCCGTGATGAAGGAGGTGATCTCCCCGTTGTCCGTCCTCTCGTAGCGGGACTTCTTCTTCGGGGGCTTCTTTTTGTTCTTCTTGGTGGACTCCTCGGTGGTGGCGCTGTTGTTGTCATTGTCCTCGTCCTCGCTGTGGTCGCTCTCGGCGTAGTTCTTGGCCCCGCCCTCCAGGGTGCAGCTCCGGCGGGGCCGGGAATTCTCGCTCTCCCGCGCCTTGTCCCGTTTGTCCCGGTCCCGGTCCTTCTCTTTCTCTTTGTCCTTCTCTTTGTCCGCTGTCATGATGCGCCAGGTGCCTTCTTCCGTCCTCTCACGGCTCGGCCTCCGTGAAAGGTAGACAGTCAGCCTGGGCTTCAGTCTTCTGAATTTCGCACGCCACTCCAGGAAAAATTGGACCACGCCGGTAACCCCAGTGTTTTAAAAAGGTCCTGGAGAAGGGGAGAGAGAGAGAAAGACAAAGACCACGTTAGCCACCAGCCACACCTTGGGCAACCTGCAAAATCTGTTAAGTGGGGTCCTGGGCCTGGCTGCCCTTCAAACGCGCAGCCTCGAGGGAATGGGACAACTGTGGAACAATTGAATTTTCTGCTTAATTATTTAAAAACAAGTTCAAAGTTATTTTAATTTTTACCATTCGCGTTTCGTTCCGTCCTTCCTTTGGCGTCCTTTCTTTAATAATTCTTCCCCATAATTTCTTTGATATTGGTGCCACTGTTGCCCCACAATGAGTTGTCCCGTGGCAACAGGGAGGCCGTGGGGAGCTTCTGCACCTAAAGGCGCTTTAGTTATCCCCAAATTTCTAATGGGCAATAGACGTTGGGACTTTGGAAAAAGTTCAGAGAAGAGCAACTAAGAGGATCCAAGGCCTGGAGACTAAAAGACGTACAAAGAACAGCTGTGGGACTTGGATTTGGCCAGTTTAAAGAAAAAAAGAAATAGGGGAGACAGGATAGCAGCGTTCCAGTATCTGAGGGGCTGCCACAAAGAAGAGGGGGGCAGGTTGTTCACCAGAGCCCCAGAGGGAAGGACGAGAAACAATGGTTGGAAACTGACCAAAGAGAGAAGCAACCTGGAATTAAGGAGAAACTTCCTGACAGTGAGGACAATCAACCAGTGGAACAGCTTGCCTCCAGAAATCGTGGCTGCTCCATCAATGGAGATCTTTAAAAAGAGACTGGACAATCACCTGTCTGAAATGGTGTAAGTTCTCCTGCTTAAGCAGGGGGCTGGACTAGAAGACCTCCAAGGTCCCTTCCAGCTCTATTCTATTCTATTCTATTCTATTCTATTCTATTCTATTCTATTCTATTCTATTCTATTCTATTCCATCCTATCCCATTCCATCTATTCTATTCTATTCTATTCTATTCTATTCTATTCTATTCTATTCTGTTCTGTTCTGTTCTGTTCTGTTCTGTTCTGTTCTATTCTATTCTATTCTATTCTATTCTATTCTATTCTTCCATGCACTGGGGAGGTCCCAGCCCACCCACCCCCATCCCCAGCATGTTACGACGATAATTCTTTGAAAGGAAACTTGGACTTCATCAAATGTTTTCTGAAGCACGCTGGAAAGTTTAAAGGCGCTATTGTCTCGCTGTGCTCCCAGGAACAAAACTTTGTTGTTTTAAAAAAAAGCCACAGGAAAACAGACACCCTTGGGATTAACCAAGCTTTCTGCTTCAAATTCAAATCTGGAGCCCAAAGGGGAATATGTATTGTGGAACATACACTAATCTGCCACACATTTTATTGTATTTTTGTTTTTGAAATGTCCATGGAAAAACATCTGGGGAGACCAAAAAAAAAGGGGGGGGAAGGATTTGCAACCGTCCCTTCCTGGGGAGCAAAACTGTGGCCATCTTAACCAGCTCCATCAGACTGACCGCATCAATGCATCCATGTGGGGAAAAACCAGGTTTCATTTATGTCAATCGTTTTCTCCGTCTGAAGCTCAACCAGGCCATGTTTTCCCCCCAACCCCTCGGCCTCCAAGCTTGTGGACATATACCGGTAATCCCCGACTTATAACCGTTCATTTAGTTGTCATCCGAAGCGATAGTGGCACCCAAAAATGACTTATGACCGTTTTTCACACTTACGACCGTTGGGAGCATTGCTGTGGTCCCAGGATCCAAATTTGGACGCTTGGCAACCGGCATGCAGTATTTACGACGGTTGCAGTGTCCTGGTGTGTGTGTGTGTGTGTGTGTGTGTGTGTGTGTGTGTGTGTGTGTGTGTGCGACAAGCAACGTTGACGGGGATAAGCCAGATTCACGCAACAGCTGTGTCGCTAACTGAACAATGGTGGCCAGAAAAGTCGCCACAGTGGGGCCAAACTCACTGGACTGTCTTGTTTAGCAACGGAAAATTTTGGATTGGGTCGTGGCCGTAAGGCGAGGACTCCTTGGATCTGACACCTCTTCCAGCAGCAATATGAAGGTTGCCCAGCCCCAAGGAAAGGGCCTGAGTCAACCTTTCTGATGCCATAAAATTTGGCACCTGGGATGGCATCTAAAGGATGGCATGGATAGGCCAGGGGGGCCTTTTCCAGCAAAGCCAAATTACACACACACACACACACACACACACACACACACACACACACACAAAACCCTCGCTTTTGAACAATGACTTTTCCGGCCCTGGTGGAGTCCTAATAAATTTCTATCCTTTTCCTCTAACTAACCACGTATGATATGGTTAAGAAGCTCAGCTACCAATCCATCGTCTCTTGCCCCACAGGTTGGAACCAGCTACTTAATCTTAGAAATCAATCCTGGGAGGCCCCCCCCCCTTTTTTTTTTTTGGTTTAAGAGGGAGGGATTAAGACTGGTGCAAAAAAAAAAAACAAAACAGGCCATTCTTCATAAATTTCCACCCAGGCGTACACAGCTTCTTTACACATAGGTTTCCCTCTAAAACAGACAGGGCTAAAACAGAATAGAAGCACTAGATCCTAAGCAAGCTTCAGCTCCTGCGTTTGCAACTAAAAGAAATCAATTAATCTATTCAGAGAATTAGATTAATTTTTTGGGGGGAGGCTGGTTGATACCTGCAGGTAAGCCACTACTGTCTATATACCCTCACTGGTATACATGCGCGGTGCATCGTATCGTATGAAGTCATAAGCTGGTTTTGTTTGATTTGGGGCACAGTGGGGACCCAGCCAGGATAGCTTACACTGCCTGCCTGCTATTTACCATCTGAATTAGACCTCCCAGGTTTGTTTAGGAAACAGCTCTTCAGACAAACCAGAGCTTTGGCAAGATGAGCAAACTCAGACCTTGGACGTGACACACATTCTCTTTATCACACAGACACACAGTTTTGAAGAAGAGACTGGACAGCCGTTTGTCTGAAATGGTGTATAGGGTTTCCTGCCTGAGCAGGGGGTTGGATTAGATGACCTCCAAGGTTCCTTCCAATTATTATTATTATTATTATTATTATTATTATTATTATTATTATTATTACTACTACTACTACTACTACTACTACTACTACTACTACTACTACTACTATTACTATATACCCCCCACAGATTGCCACCAGAAATCGTGGGCGCTCTATCACTGGAGATTTTCAAGAAGAGACTGGACAATCACCTGTCTGGCATAGGTTCTCCTGCTTGAGCAGGGGGTTGGACTAGATGACCTCCAAGGTCCCTTCCAACTTTATTATTATTATTATTATTATTATTATTATTATTATTATTATTATTATTATTATTATTATTTTACACCCCACCCCAACAGATTGCAAATGCAGCCACAGCTGCACAGAGGGAAGCTAGGTTTTTGTTGTTTTTTTTTAAACTTTGCTGAGACAAAGAGATCCTACATCAGGGGTCCCTAACCCCCGGTCCATGGACTGGTACCGGGCCACGGCGTGCCACCAACCAGTCCGCACAAACAAGCAAAGCCCCATCCGCGGGATGCAGGCAGCACACAAAACCACGCACTCTCCGGTCCATGGAAAAATCTCTCTCCACAGAACCGGTCCCCGGTGCCCAAAAGGTTGAGGACCTTTGCTCTCTACATCATGATGAAAACACCAATTTCAAGGGACTGATCTATTTGCAGCATCCAAGGGTCAGGGGTGGCCATAAGTAGCTTTGAAGATCAAAATCTGCTCCTTTTCAGAACTGAATCATCTCCTTTTGAAAAGAGAGAAAAAAGGGGAGGAGAGGCGGTCATGAAATTCTTAGACCTGGGTTGACTTTATTCCCAACAACGATAACCTTCAAAATGATAAATTGATTTGGCTGTCGCAACACCACCAGGCCTGAGAGGCCCGCTTCTTCTCCATTTACACACGCCCCTGTTTTTTCCAGATGGAGGCAAACAGCTCCAGAAGAGATTAAACAGCTCTGGGAATTTTGTCCTAAGGCAGCTACAACTAAGAGGATCTCACGCAGTTGAAGAGGTGACTGCCACCCAAAGATTGCTCTGGTATCTTAAGAGGCTTTTTGTAAACAGACTGAGCAAACTGCTCTGTGGCTCCCTTAAAGGAGTCTTGGCTAGCTGTGGAATTCTGGGAGTTGAAGTCCAGGCTTCTACCAGTTGCCCACTTTTCCAAATCCTTTTCCACACCATGAACAAAATTTGCCAAACCCCATGAATAGGTCTGCACTTGTCCAAACTGGAGCATCCCTGGAAGACAAGAGGCCAGGGAAATATTGATAACGTTGCGTTTCCCTTCCCGCATGTCCACAACCAGTCCACACAAACAAAAGCAAAGGCCCCATCCGCAGGATGCGGGCAGCACACAAAACCTCCGGGGTCTGCGGAAAAACCCTCCTCCACGGAACCGGTCCCCGGTGCCCAAAAGGTCGGGGGCCCTCTGCAACAGAGCACAACCTCTTGCAGAGTTGCTGGAACCAGAACACACCACAGGCTTTGGGGGAAGCCTTGGACCCACAACGTGCAAGGAAGGCCCGGCAGGCCACAGAGCCTCGACGGGAGAGCCTTCCGATCAGCAACACGGCACAATTGCGGAGTGGTGGCTTCGATGCAATGGCGGAGGGGGACGCCGTGTAAGGAAGGGAGCGCCCTCGCTCCAGCTGGTGTAATCCTCACCGAGCGGCCCGCAACGTGAGCGGCGGGGACTAACTGGCGATGTGACTGGACCGGACAGCTTTCTGGAATCCATTTTGCCAGGCTCCTTGTGTAAATCAGAGAGGCAATCATGTCCATCCTTCTGCAGACAGCTGGCCAAGCAAAGCCGTGCTTCCTCCCTCCGTTCCCCACCGGAGCAGATGGTAGAATTTATCCCCGGGATTAGACAAAATCTTTATTTGTCAAACCAGCAATAGGCCTAGAGAGAGGACAAGTGGCAGTCATGCTGCCACAGCACAGCTAGACTCGGTTTTCCAATTACGCACCGGGAGCATCAATTACAACCCACAATGCTGGCTGTTATGTCT